TAATAATAATGTATATTCTCATATAAACATATAAATTTACATGAAAATGCATGCCATTTTTACAGGCACGATCAAGTATGATATAATATCAAATCGTAGATTGTCTACAAGTTAATAATGTTCCAACAGTTAAATATTTGATATATATATAAATACACATTGTCTGAACTAGGCTGTATAGTTATTGAATTGTACAATTGTCCTCCAGGTTGAGCGGGAAAATGGACTTCGTTTCGTTTTCATCCTGTGGTTGTCGGCATACGATAACCAACCAATATTGAGGTAAGTACAACGTTTACAAGGGATTGAAAGCTGTTTTAGAAAAGTAAAAGTGCTGAGGTGAATCATTAAATTGTAATGAAATAGGTAAGTGCAAGTATCATTAATAAATGCATTAATAAAGAAAACTCCCTAGGCTGACAACGTTCATTTGCAATGTATAATGCTACACGTATATCTCGTACTATCATGATGTCCACTTTTGGTTTTAATACATTTATCCTCAGTTGTGCCAGTTGTTTTTGTTTTATACCTTTTTGTGCATTTAGTGTACAACCGTACCCTTCAGAGAGTAGGAATATCATAAGTCATAAAGAGCTGTAAAATGTTAGGTTTAATGGGATATAATGAGGATCAAGTAAAGACGTTATTGGAAAATGAATGAGATAAGACATTGTGAAGTGGCATTTAAAGATCAGACAATGGACAGCAAGTTAGTTTATAAGATGCCCCATAAATCTGTGCAGATCCCGCGTGGTCGCGTCTCAACAATAGGCTGAGCGAATGGTATATTTAAAGGTAGAAGCATGATCTGTCAAGGCGTTCATTATTATCTTTTTCAAGATAAAGATCTAAGCCCTCATAAAAATCAGAAATATCTCGAGCCTTTAATTTGTATATTGCTGTTCCTGCAGAATGGGGCGATTCACCTTAGTGACCACCACCATATCTACTGATCAGCTAACGCCACCCTCCCTCCTTATAACAGGAAAGAAATTTGATCGTGGATACGAAAACTAGATAAAGTCATGTTGGGTTGTTTTACTGCATCAAGTGGTGCCGAGGTCGATTCCAGAATTCTCCATTTGCTCCATTTGTGTCTGCATGGTGGACTGTATTCGTAAGTTGAGTAAAATGTTGAAAAACTATTTGAAGACCAGTTGCTTCTTCATTTCAGATCATGAATACTCATTTACAGAATGTTCGCCAGCGTCTTCAAATGGTAGAATTGGATCGTTCATGGAATTTCAGTGGTTATGAGATAGACTGTTTGGAATTAATCCTCATTTCAGTTTAGATGCAGGGTTGTTCGACCTCGACCAGAAGATGAATAGGAGCAGCAAAATACCAGAAAGAGAAAGTATGTGAACATGAAAAGGACATTTATATATTATGCATTTATAAATGTTTATCTTAATTATACTTAAGTAAACATTTTTCTATATTGTATTTGTTTTCACGTATTTATGCGAAGTCTTAGGGTTTATTTAATGTCATAATGTGTATTAATGAGTCTGAGCGTTTTAGTGTTCTAATGACTGATGCGTTTTAGAAATAAGTGATGGGTTCTGGTAGGGATAGTCATTTGGACAAAACAGTTTATATAGCAAGCGTTTGAAGGTTACAATGAGGGATAGGTCCTATTTCTAATTTCTAAGGGTAAACTAATCCTGTATGTTCCGTACTATGTCTTTATGCATCCATGCTGCTAGTTTATTTATAGTTTTCAGATTGCTAAGGGTGTTGAAGTGCGTCTTTTAGGTGCTGTAGTAGATTAGTAGTTGATTCGTTCTAGGAGTAAATAGTTTATTGATATAATCAGTAGAGTGAAACAGTCTGTATAGAGAGCGTTTGAAGCTTGTAACCGAAGAGCAAGTTCTGACATCTAGGGGTAGGCTATTCCATATTTTAGAATACATGACTGTGAAGAAGTTTTCACGGAGTGTTGACTTAAAGGAATGAGTTGTCACTGTGGAAGTTTGGTTACGCAGATCGTAAGAACCTTCCTGTGCGAATTGTATGTCCCTGTTACCTGAGAATGATATTTTGTGAAGGACCTTAAAGAAGAATATTAGGTTTATAGTAAGTCGCCTTGTCCAAAGTGGGTCAAGTTTTAGGATCATGCACCGTGAGATGTAGTCTTTCTTACAATCGTAGCCAAGCAGTTTTGAGGTAAAATATCGTTGGACACTTTCCATCCTTAGCTTGTCGCGTGTGCGAGTGCTGCTTATAATAAATGGACAGTATTCTAGTAGTGGTCTGACACATGTTTTGTACAGAATTAGCTTGGCTTCATTGTCATGAAAGTTCCTGAGTATGCATCCTAAGAGCATCCTCGATTTTCTAGTCTGTGATGCTACTTGCTCAGAGAATGTCAAGTCACTAGAGTACCTCAAGCCTAGGTCAACGACACTTCGGAGTCTTGTTAGGTTAGCAGATTGGAGCGTTAATTTCAGGTCAATTGAGGGTGCACCGAAGCAGATCCAGCCACATTTTTTCAGATTGAATCGGAGATTCCATAGGGACGACCAAGCAGCCATTTTATCTAATTCTTTCTGTACTACATTCTCGAAGTTCCCTAAGTCATCACGTTGGATTGTATAAGCTGTTTTTAGGTCATCTGCAAAGATGAATGGTTTCCCTTGCGTGAAGCAAGCGCATATGTCATTGATGTATAGTGTAAATAGGAGGGGTCCAATGACACTACCTTGTACTACACCAGAAGTGATAGGGCTAGGTTTGGAGGTTGCAGACCCGAGTTTAACTATTTGGGACCTGTTGTTAAGGAATGATTTAAGCCATCCTAATAATGGGTCACGTATTCCTAAGGAGCTCAGCTTATTTGTTAGCAGTAAATGGTCGACACGGTCAAATGCCTTAGAAATGTCAAAGTAGATGACAAGTACTAGTTGCCGTCTGTCACGACTGCTGGTTACAAAATTGAAGAAGTCTAGGTGACATGTTAAGCATGATCTGGATTTCAGGAATCCATGTTGGTTTGGACTTATAATATTCCAGCTAAGCATATGTTTGATTAGGTTATCTTTGACCAGTCTCTCCATGATTCTAGATGCTATAGGTGTGATATTGATTGGCCAGTAGTTACTGACTTCAGTTTTCGAGCCAGATTTGTGTTTAGGCATAATGAATGTAGTCTTCCATATGTCAGGTTAAGTTTGGGTTTCTAGGGACATTGTGAATATTTTATGCAGCAGTAGAGGAATGTCAGGGCCACCATATTTTTTTTATTTACAGCTTGATTCCACACCGTATTTTTGGTACAAGTATGGAATTTTCAGCATGGATATCGGTAGCCCAAATTTTGCAGGCCGACCATAGGTATCAGTTGTGCGCCAGCGTGGGCTCGAACCCCGGACCATGTGCATGGTCGGCGAGAGTCCTAACCACTGTGCCACCGACGCACAGATGATATACCGTCGGTACCGAAACCTTTTGAACTTTTGAGGGTTCTTATAGTTTGGTTAATATCAGCGTAAGTGAATTGAACAGTGCTAATTTGGTTTGGTGTGAGTGGAGATGCAGTTTGTGCCATTTTAGTAATAGGGTGTATATCGAGTAGCTGGACTGAGGGCTTAAGGTAGTTACCTGCAAACGTTTTGTTGAATAGTTCACATATGTCTGCAGAGTTAGTGCATAGCCTACCTTTGTCTATGAGGAGAGAAATGCTGTGATTTTTGCGATTCATTCGCTTCCTTAAGATTTCTGTGAGTGCATACACTCTAGCAGGACTGGCTACTGCGATGCGTTCTTCCTTTCTCATACGGAAATCTTGAGCTTGTGTGATGGAGCTAAGGGTTTTAAGTATTAGACCTAGAGTGCCAAAGTCGTGGTGTTTGAAGTAACTTGTTGAGAGTTTCTTCAGTTTCTTACGATCCTTTGGTTTTATGAATGACTTTCTGTGTGGGGAAACCTTTAGTGTTTGGAGTGGAATGACAGCATCTAAGCATATGTTTGAGTTATGGTAGAAGATGGTTAGGGCTCTCGATAGGTCATCAGTAGTGAAGTATTCATCCCATTTGGAGGATCTTAGCATCGATTCAACTAAGGCCCAGTTTGCCTTACTATAGTTCCTATATATTACTTGTTGTGAAGTGGAGGTATGAGATGCATTGCTACTCAGCGGAATTGGCAGTGCACATACCACTGTTTTGTGGTCGCTCCCTGGAAACTCAGAACCTACTAGCGTTGAAAGGGGGCTTATATTGTGGCAGAAGATTAAGTCTAGTACGTTGTTACCTCTTGTGGGAGTGGTGACAGTTTGTTTCCAGCCAAGTATATCCAGTGTGCCTAAGAACTTATCAAATTTAGTTGGACCTGTGGGTATATCCCAGTTGATTTCAGGTAAGTTAAAGTCCCCACATAGGATCTTATGATCGTATTGTAAGTCGGATAATTGCTCCAGAGTATTAATAAGTTGGGTCTCGTAATTACTAAAGGTGCCAGGTGCTCTGTAGGTGCATCCAATTAATGCTGTTACGTTATTTAAGTGTACATTAACCCATAGAGTCTCAGGCATGTTAAGTGTACTACTTTCTAGCTGTGATACAGTAAGTGCATTCAGAAAGTACATGAGACAACCCCCTCCCTTACCACCTTCCCTGTCACACCGAAAGTGTGTGTAGTTATCTAAGCTTATTTCTTCATCCAGGATGTTCGAATGACACCAAGATTCAGTGATGACAATTACAGGGGGTTTGTATATTACTGTGAGTGCTCTGAGCATCGGCAATTTATTTAGAACAGATCTAGCATTTATGAGGATTACGTAAAGATGAGAGTTGAAGTAGCATTTGAAGTATTTAAGTTCGTTAGTCAGCCCCGAATATGGTTCAGCACCCAGTAGTTCTGCTGGACATGACGATCCTATGTTAAGAGGAGTTCCAGCATCATGCTCACCTATGTCTATCGAGTTGTTGTGTGCTGTTTTCGGTGGAGAATTAGGAGTTGGAGTACTGGATTTGCTATAGACTAAGGAACTTTTATTTTTAGTTAGGTTACAGAAGTGGGTAGGGTTCTTTATTTGGCCTATACTTGTGCAAGTGTCAAGTGTGTCCAATGGATACGGGTGCACTAGACCGTTCCTGTTTTCATGCAAGGAGGGAGCCAGCACTAGTGGTTTAGGAGTGTTAACATCCCTACCAGCTGTTTTTTCAACGCTGACAGGGACGCGGGGGATAAAAAATGATTGGATCCTTGTGATGACCATGGCTTATTATTCCACCTATTGTTTGATGCTAGTTGTGTCCTTGTGTGGGTTTCGTGTGTACTGCATTGTGGGTTAGTTCCCAGCAGACTTGTACCATATATCCGGTCAAAATTTGTTTGTGTGCCATACTCTGAAGACCCTGAGTTGTTGATAGCCGAGTTCTGACTATTACCACTTGTACTATTGAGGGTGACATTGTTGTGACATTGGATATTAGTGTGTGCCATGGTGCGATTTAGCACGTTGTGGGTGCTAATACTATTGACCGTGGGAAGTGTGGGTTTATTTAAGCTGCCACTGTTTTTGTTGGTATGATTTAGGGGCATATTTTCCTTATCTTTACCAATGGAATTATAGCTAGGAGAGGACAAAGTCGAATTTCGGGGGGTTTTAACTTTTTTTCTGGGGTTATTTAGTGGCATTTTAGATTCTGCGGTGATGGGTGGTATGGTTTTATTATTTATTTGGTTACAGTCTAGTGGCCTTTCGGCTGGTGTTGCACTCTGATGGGATATTTCTGTGTGTTTTGAGAGGGGTGATGCGGTGGGGTCTACTGTATCTTTCACAGGGTTGGGAATAATGGCTGCTTGCAATGTCCTATTACCTATTTCACAATTAGTCTTAGTGAGATAGTTGTGTGCGCGCCTTTCTATAACTGTTTTTTCCACCCCGACCTTTATATGTTTGTAGTTTCTGGCTTGCGATAGGGTGTGTTGGGAGTGAATGAATTTTCTGGTCTCTGCCGGTGTTTCGAACTGAAAACGAATAGGACAACACTTTTCATGTTGACTCTTCTTCAGCCTGTAGCACTTAGTCTTGGAGTTAGGCATTTTCGCTTCACTAAGTAAGATGCGCTGTACCTTTTTTAGTGCCTCATTGTCCGGAACGTTGTAGACAATAGCACTCAGTTTTGCGTCGAGTCGTTTTGTTACTTCTGTGGTAACAAAATTAATGAGGTTATCTACCTTAGTTACCGATTCTGTGTCAAGCTTGTTAAGGTTTACCGTTTTCATGAGGATAGTTAGAGGTGTCAGTTCACAGACCTGCGATCTGATATCGCTGATCTGATCTGATAATTTGGATATCTCGGTATTGGTTTCGATGTTTCCAGCATTTACTGACTTACTGTTTTTTATTTCCCTTAACTCAGCCTTAAGTTCTCCTATAGACAACTTTAGAAGTTCTATTTCTGAAGATAGTACTGAAAAAGAGCTTGATGGCTGGAGTTTCTCCATAAGCACATAAGGTGAAGGGAGGAGTTCTGTATGAGCAGAGGGTACCGAATTTTTAGGAGTAGTGCTAATACTGGCTGTCAGTACAGTTTTATCCTCAGTTTCAGCTCGACGCTTACGGCATACACGTGAGTTATGTGACTCACTATAGCCGTTTGTTGGGGGTGTGTTGCTTGATGTAGCAATCAAGGACGTTAAATTAGACACCAGTTTTACAGGGGATTGGGTTCGTTGCTTTTTACTTTGATTAACCATAACTATTAGAAATGAGAGTTAGTGGTTACAAGTATGGAAGTGGTATAGTACTTGTGCAAGTACTACAAAAAGATAAATTTTATGTAATTAATCACGTAAAAATGTAACGCAAACGTTGAAAGTACCGCGATAAAGATTATCTAGAGTACAGGGGTATATCACACCCACTGTTTTTGAAAATTATCGAAGCGAGGCCATCCGGTCCCGTACTAGTGGAAGGTTTAAGGCTTTTAATTGCTTGTACTATTAGTTGATTGGTGAACACAATGCTTTCAAGGGAAGAGATAGTAAGGGGAGCGGTTTCGCCAGGCATATGTGTTTCTAAACTAAAGTTTGCAAACCAATCACTGAAGAGTTCACGGATAGTGGCAGGTTCATTGTAGATTACTTTGTCGTGAAGTAAGCATGGGATTTCCCTCGCCGACTGCATTCGTTTTTTAAGAAGTGCCGTTAAGTTATAAACTTTGAAGGTACCTACAAGTGCCGTTAACTCTTCGTCGAGGTCCTTTTGAGAGCGTAGGCGCTTGAGAGATTCAAGAGACTCGTGGATTGAGAGCAGTAGTGATATGTCCTTAGTGGAATAGTACTGTTTCTTCAGCTTCCTTAACTTATTACGGCGTGCCCTTGGAATATATTCAGCTCGGTGTCTACTTAATTTCACTATTTTCTTTGGAGCAACTGTATCTAGACAAAGGGTAGCATTCCTGTAAAACAGGGTTACTGCGGCCTCCAGGGAGTCAGTGGTAAAATAGTCACCTCATTGACAGAGTCGAATAAGTTCTTGGACTAATCCCCAGTCTGTATATTTGTAACTACGACATATTGTGCTTCCTGAGTCTTGTTTGTTTCCTGTATTTAGTGGTGAGAAAGGCAGAGAGCAGAGTACCATTCTATGGTCACTACTGGAAAATCGATTACCAACATACGTGGATACTGGGATTGTGTCATGACAAAAAACAAGGTCCAACATGTTGTCACCACGAGTAGGTGTCTGGACGTGTTGTTGCCATCCATAACAGTCTATAGTGGCAAGTAATTCGTCGAAGCGTTGAGGGCCGGTGTAACAACAGAAGACAAGGGCCAGGCAACAGATCGTTTTATTATGAAAATCAACACGTATTTATACATATTTCAGACAACATTATTATAGACAAGCGCAGTCATCTGATTGGTTGTTTAGGTAGACAAACGCAGGCTTCTGATTGGTTGTTTCGGGATTCCTTGACAAATAGAGTTCTCTCTGCGAATCATATTCTGCCACGTTAACTTTGCTGTGATTGGTTGTTGACTCAGGCTTGTTCATATTTTCTCACGGCCCATATTAGTGACCTAGACCTTAACGTAGATTAGTGCCAACCAATCGGCTAGCAGCCTGCTCTCACCACACTCGTCCCCCCGTCAAATACGTGCGACTGAAGTCGGCTTGATCTACTTGGTGCAGGCGTCATCGTTGGCTTGTCTCGCTGTATCCATTTCTGGAGCTCGCTGACGTTCACGCGCCTCTCATTGTTCGCCATTGCGACTGTGTCTGCGTAACCCCATCTCGAAGTGACCATATATGGTCCTTCCCACTTTGGAAACTGTTTGCCTGACCCTGTCGAACATTCGTCCATACTTCGGCCGACACCTTCATATGCTGCTTTCGCCCGACCTCCCAGCAGCGTCTCAAGTAGCAGCTCCATCGCTGACAGATCTTGAACGCCACTCAACTGCGCAGAAGCCTTGAAGTCCTGCCCGAAGATCCATATGTCTCCATCAAAAACTGCAGGGTATAGGCTTTTCATTTGTCGGTAGGCAGCGACACCAAATGTAACAACAGAAGACAAGGGCCAGGCAACAGATCGTTTTATTATGAAAATCAACACGTATTTATACATATTTCAGACAACATTATTATAGACAAGCGCAGTCATCTGATTGGTTGTTTAGGTAGACAAACGCAGGCTTCTGATTGGTTGTTTCGGGATTCCTTGACAAATAGAGTTCTCTCTGCAAATCATATTCTGCCACGTTAACTTTGCTGTGATTGGTTGTTGACTCAGGCTTGTTCATATTTTCTCACGGCCCATATTAGTGACCTAGACCTTAACGTAGATTAGTGCCAACCAATCGGCTAGCAGCCTGCTCTCACCACACCGGAACTAGTTAGCCAATTGACTTCTGGAAGATTGAAGTCCCCTGCAATTATTTTGTAACTAGCACTAAACAAGGAGGCGTGTGCAAACGATTTAGCTGATAACGCATCAGTTTCTTTTGTTGAGCTTGGTGCTCGATAAACACAGCCTATGAGAAGTTTGTACTTATCTCCATGTAAGACAACCCAGAGTGAGTCAGGTACTGTCAATGGAGTTGAAGATTGAACGATCAATTCTTGGTTGTTTGCTCAAAATCAACTTCCTCGATTTTCGCGGAGGCATCAATACGACAGTCATCGTCTCATCGGTCGCTGTTCAGAAAGAGGAGTAAAACATCGTCAGAAGTAATCTTATGATTTATTATTGTAATATTTGTTCACAGACCTTAGTTCAATTATTATTTTTATATGTTGGTGTAACAATAAAGAAATCTCAAGCGGCCAATCGGTGTATTGGTTTTTTCGTCCGTTATAACTAAGCGTTTCTGAAAACTTCAAGGAACAGCGTGGGCCCGAGCGTAGCAAGAGCTGGGCATTGACGGTTTATGAGACGTGATTGACAGTTTCTGACGATAGAAACAGATCTGGCGGATTGAAACAGTTGGTGAAAGTTTGGATAGTCACCGTTCATCTCTCCTGGTGCCGGTCAAGTCCTCTTTGAACAAGCAATATCTGGAACTGTTTTGGAATTTGCTCAAGTTCAACAATGCCTGGGTCAAAGAAGGGACAGAACGTCTTGGATGCAAACAGGAAAGTAAGTCATGGTGACTTGTCTGTTAATTGTAACGATGTGTCTGATGTTAAGCATGACATGGTTGATGTTACTGTTTCGCCATTCAGGGATAATAGGAACATCAAACTCCCTAAATTTGAACCACGGTGTTTCGATGGAAACCCAGCTGATTATTTACAATTTGTAAAGGAGTTTGAGATCATGTTGAGTGGTTTTTTATTAACTGATGAATTGAAGTTAATGTATTTGATGAGATATTGCACTGGAGATGCTGCAAGAGCTATACAGTGCTGTAAGTTTATGAAGCCAAAGGAGGGCCACTACGAGGCTATGAGCATACTCCGTCAAAGGTTTGGAAGACCTTCAATGATTGTAAGGAACGTATACGAAGCTGTCAAAGGTAATGGCAGCCAACTTCGAGATGACTCCAAGGCACTTACTGAGTTTTTAGATAATCTTATGACTTATAAGAATACCTTGATTTCTATGAATTCCATGAGTGACCTCAACTCGAGTTTTATACTAGAAGTAATAGGAAGAAGCCTACCTAGTCGACTGCAAAGGAAGTGTGTGAAGATATGCTCCCGTATGCAGGATGAGGGTATCGAGCCAAAGTTTGATGATATATTGAAACTAGTAAAAGATAGTGTCAATCAATCGATGAGCAAGTTTGCCAGTATATTCAATCGCACCCCTAGAATAGAATAGTCTGAGGGTAAAACGCAATCATTGATGACGAATAGGCCTCAGAGAGGTGGATATCAAGAAGGCTCCATGATGTCTAGTAATGCATATAAACTTAATGAGTGCAACAGGTTTCGTAGTACATCCTCAACAGATAAGTTGCAAGCTGCAAGACAAACACGGTTGTGCTTCACACGTTCGCAATAAGTGCATACAGAAGTGAAC